TTAGCTCACTTGGGAGAGTGTGGTGCTGACAACCCCAAGTCAATGGTTAAGATCCCCTTACCGGTCATCTTTTTAAAAAAAAAAAAAAAATTAATGAACATAGTAACCATAGTTTTTCCAAATTTTAAAATGGGGCCAATGACCTGGCAAAGACTGACATTTGTTTGATTTGTGAAATTCTTCATATGAATAGTTTTATAAAGAAATTGTAGTTACATTAATTGTATAATTAATAATCTGCCTTACTTGACTGGATATGATCATATAAATAAGATATAGAATATTTAGCACATATTCTAAACACATGTTGTCACATGTGTTTCATTTATATGAAGGTGATGGGCATTATATTCATAATGACTTTAATGATTCCTCTTCTAATAGTTTTCCACTCCTCTTGACAAGTCTCTGAGTAACTAACTTGTAACAAGTCACAAGAAATTTTATGTATTTAGTGGTCAGAAGTTACTTTTCTGACACCCACCTGACTTTCGTTCACAATATTTTCCTGTGGCCTTTAGGGGACCAATTTACACATTATCTTTACATCTAGAAAATTAATATTCAGGTGTAATTTTCCCTGACTTGTACACATTTTTCTCTTTATTCTATGCAACTAATAAATTCTCACTAAATATCCACAGAGAGAGAACTTATGTACAAATTCCATATGTTCTCTAATTTATATTCTAGCCCTTAATATTTTTGCAACTTAATCCAAGAGAATTATGCAAGAAAATTGACAGAAAGCATCAAAATTTGTCTTTGATAAACATAAACAATAGAGCAATTAAATAGAGCTCTTCTATAGGATTGTTGTACCAAATCCAATTATTGTAAGATGAACTTCACTTAAGTACAAAAACTTGGACTCTCCCTCTCTTACAAGTTCTAATAAGGTACAATTCCCTATATAGATTCCAGTGTTAACCTGATGGTAAGAGGTTGGAATTTAGTGACTGGTCACACTGTAGAAGACTCAGAGTTGCTGCTCTGTCTTTGGGTCTTCCAAAATTATTGTCATAATAACAGAAAATTTTTGAAAGGTTACACAGTAAACTTATAGCAGTGGGAAAAGAAAAAAGACACAAATTACTTAACTTTTATAGAGAATGTATTATGGGCCAACTATGTACAATAGTGCTTAGTTCTTTTCATGAATTACCTCATGTAATATTTATAATATTACCTGTATTATTTCAAGATCATCTATCAGTCTAGGAACATCAAGTACAAAGATAAACATATTTGTTTCCATGGTCCTCAAAATAATCACAGAAATTATTTTTGAATCTGTACCAAAATGAAAATTATTGAATATCTATACAGGACAACTCTCACATCAACTGGAAAGTCTAGATTATTGGATTCTTTATGATTTTCCTTTTATGCTGAATGGGAACACATGTTTCATATCTGCTTTAGACCACTGTTTTTCTTGGTTTATTTGTTTTTAAGCCCACCCCATTAGCTCAATAATTTATGAAGATGAGGAGACAACACCATCTCTATTTTTCTGTTTCTCACAGTACAAGGGTGTGGTAGTTGGCACATAGATAATTAGAATGACATGTGAATAGAGAACCCAAATTTTGTCTGATTCTTGAGTCATACTCTATTTTAATATGTGAAGAAGTATGAACTGATTAGATCTTATTATATGATGGTGCAGACTAAGTCAGTGTGATCTCCAAGTTAGCAAGCAGTAAACACTTGCCAGATTTAATAAAATTATTTCTACTTAAATCTCAGCTGGTGAGGGAGGGGCCATCGATTTTGGTAATTAAGTATTTTCTTTCAGTGCATGTAATGTGTACATTCTGTTGAAAGTGGAAAGTTGGCAAACTGCATAATTGTTGCAGATCTGTCAGCATACTTCTTTAATTACTAACTTAGGTCTGGACCTAAATTTAGAACTTCAAAAGCCAATGAAGTAAAACACATCTAACAGCTAACAGAAAAATGAACTGTGAAACAGAGTAAGAGAAAACTTTGAGAGTTAATAATGCTTTAAATGTTTATAAAGTTTTATTTATTTTTTTAATTTTTAAAGTTTTAAAAATTAACTAGCTGCAGATTTGGTGTAATTCAATATTGAAACTATGGTTTTTCTTTTAAGTTTTACCTGTAAGGTTCTTAAGTTCAGATGAAATTTTATTCTAGTCAATTAATGTTGTTTTCATTTTTTATATATGACAAATTATTAATAATCAGTTTATGTGGCATCTATAATTCTAGTTCAATCCTTGGAATTATACATCTATTAGCTACTCTTTCTAGTTTTCCTCCTTTTGTTAATCTAACATAAGAGCATAAAAATTTTTAATTATAATAAAGTATTGACACTTTGATGTACATTAAATGTACAATATCAGAAGGATTATTGTGGCTATAAAACAACTATTTGCTGCACACATGTCAATGGTATATAAAAATTTCTAGCTCTTTCACAGATTTAAAAAAAATTGTTATAAAGTACACATAACATGACATATACCATCTGTTTTAGTCCGTTTTGTGTTGCTATAACAGAACTACCTGAGACTGGGTAATTTATAAGGAAAAGAGGTTTATTTGGCTTACGATTCTGGGACAGCTGCATCTGGCATGGGCCTCAGGCTGCTTCTACTTGTGGTGGAAAGTGGCAGGCAGCTGTTGGGTACAAGCGGATCACATGGCAAGAGGAAGCAAGAGGGGGAGAGAGAAGGTGCCAAGGTCTTATAAACAACCAGCTCTTGCGGGAACTAATAGAGTGAGAACTCACTCATTAATCACCCCTCCCCCAGGGAGAGCATTAATCCATTCATGAGGGATCCACCCCCATGACTCAGTCAGTTTCCAACACTGCCACATTGGGGATCAAATTTCCACCTGAGTTTTGGAGGGAACAACACATCCAAACTCCATCACCATCTTATCTCTTACACATACTTTCAGTTCAACATTATTTGGGGAAAAGAACCAGCGGAAGCAATAAGGACAATTTATGTTGATACTATAGTCACGCCAGGATTACTGAGATATGCTGTTGCTAAAGTTACATTCTGAGTTTTCAATGGTGCTCCCAGCCATCATCCACAGGAGAAATAATGGGCTAAAATAAACAAACTGTCTTTTTGGAAAAGAGCTAGAGACACTTCCCTTTCTCCCCACACCAGAAACTTTGATAATGATGAAGTTTTTGTTTGTTTTGTTTGTTTGTAAAACATACCTCTACCATTGCGTAAAATGCACTCAGCCCAAACCATTCACTAATACTGTCTCTTGCCAGGTTTCCTGCTGTTACCATGCATCTATCTGAGCAAAGAGTCACAGTCACTCATCAGTGAGGATGAGCAGGCTGCCCACTGGCCACTTACCAAGTGTTACCAGATGGTAGAGAGCCATACTCAGTCATGACTGAGAAGTAACAGCAACACATGGGCAGGTCTTACCAGGTGTTTTTCAGGTATTTTCAACCTACCCAAGTGTTGCTGCATGTTACCAGTCATGAGTGTTACCAATCAGTCACCAGTGAGGAGGATCAAGCAGAAGGCTGGCAAGTGTTACCAGTTGTTATTCAGGTGTTGCCCAGTGTTACCAATCATGAGCCGTAGTCAGTCACCAGCAAGGAGCAGCAGGCAGCAGGCTGGCAAGTGTTACCAGGTGTTACCAGGTGTTATCCAGGTGTTTCCAGTCGTGCGCCACACTCAGTCACCAGTGAAGAGTGGCAGGCAACTGGCTGGCATTGAGCCACACTGTGTTCATGTTGTCCCCCCAGCTTTGTGTTCGGCAATGTTACTACATTTATTTCTTGTGACATCAAATAACATACAGAAGGTACCCTCCTGTTCATCTCCTTCCAACTTCAAGAAACTATGAGAAGCCTTCGCTGATGTTGGTCCCATGGGCAGGCCACTCTTGGACATGGATTTTGCATTGGTTAGGGTAGCCTGAACTGGCATTGCATATAAACAATGGCACGTGTAAGAGTGTAAACACATGCAGGCTTGCTTTTTGCACATGGAGCAGTCAAGGCAGGTAATCCCAGCAGGGTGCTGTCTCCTCCACGTGTACTGCAGTGTCTCACCCCCTTTCCTTCTTGTGGCCCTGCCATCTCCTACAACTGTGGCACCACCCACACCCAGCTAGTAAGGGAGAATGTGGTTGTGGGTGTGCCACCCTCCCCTACTGAAAAGGCTGGGTACAGTGGCACAAAGCTTCTCTGATCATGTCCCATTCATGATAACACATCCGCTTGTAGGGAAAAGGAAGGCTGGGAAGTTTAACGTGGCTGGGCAGGTGTGTTCCAGTAAAAGTGGACTCAGAGGGACAGGGATGGGGTGGAGTAGCTATTGTATCAACCATATTCCATAAAGGTGATAGGAGGTTTAGGTTAAAATTAGGATTATGGTGGTTTTCTTATGATCCATCTTCTATAAGGTGAAAGGGTGGTTAGGGCTAGGGCTGACTTGGGGGCTGGGGCTGGTGGGGCTATCTTGGCCATTCTCTTGAGTGTCATAAGGCAAAAGAAAGCCAAAGCACAGACAGCATCCTTTCCCTTTCTTTCCTGGGTGGGCAGCTGATAGGAGCCTCAGCAGTGCCTCAGTTCAGTGGCTGTGATTTTCTGATGTAGCCCGTGTCTCAGGGATGACCGAATGCTGTCCTGAGCCATTTTTCCCAAGGAAAAGGTGCATGTGATAAATGGTTTTTTCATCCTACTCATGCTTTTTAAATAATGCATCCTCCTAATAAATCAAAGACTTCCTAGTCTCACTAATGGTTGATTGATTCTGGGCTCAACCAAAATGCCATCCATGAGTTGCTGCTCAGAATCCGATTATTTCACCAAGAACATGGTTGTACGTTAATTTTTTATGAAGATTCACATTCTTTTACTGTACAACTCATTGGCAATGTCATATTGATAAAACATCCTGTGTGCACATTTACCCTAAAAGTTGGACATTATTAACACATATTCAATTAACAGACTTAGAACTCTGTGATATAATACCAATAAGTGTTTTACCATTGTGGGCATTGTAAAGATTCCATAGGGCTACTGCTAACCTATATTGATTAGTATTTATGGTATATGAAAAAAATAAAAAGTATGACTTGCTAGAAAATGAAAATATATGTAATGTGTACATTCCAAAAAGTCCCCTTAAATTGTACTCAACATGTTTTGTGAATATTTATAATCAGTTCTTTTAAATTAATTTTTTTCACTGAAGCATGTACTTTTTTCATTGAAGCATATCTGTGGGGGTACAGAATTGAATATCAATACTTGTGTGTAATATATGATGATCAGATCAGGATAATTACTATATTTATCATTACACAATATAATCATTTTTTGTGGCTCTTTACCCATTTCTCGCTAACCCCTGTTCCCCCTCCCTTTTTCCCTCCTCTGGTGGCCTCAGTTCTGTTCTTTGCTTTTGAAAATTCAATGAATTTTTGAAATTGTATCTTTTATTTATTTGTTAATTTATTTAGCTCCCACTTATGACTAACCCCTGCTCCCCCTCCCTTTTTCCCTCCTCTGGTGGCCTCAGTTCTGTTCTTTGCTTTTGAAAATTCGATGGATTATTGTGATTGTTGCATCTTTCTTTCTTTCTTTCTTTCTTTTTTCATTTTTTTTTTTTTTTTTGGTTTTTTTT